AGTTATTTAGGAGATTAATCCCATAAGCAAATAGACTCAAATCAGCTCATGTAACAGTTGAGAGAAGTTGAATAGTAAGAACTAATGTCCAAAACTTTTTGGCCATATTATTTAATTTTATAAATTAAATGCATTTCTGTCCTTCAATTGATATATGACATTTACATTCAACAACAAGGAAGAAGTACGATTTATTGACTTCAAACAAAATGAAACAAAATTCAAAACGATATTTTCCTTAATCAGCTGTTGTTGAGAAGAGTAAAGATTATAAAGAGAAGGAAAAACCTCCGTAGGATAGTTGATACGCTTAATAATCCGCTGGTTAGTTACGTTGCGAATGAAATCATCAGCGGAATTAGATCGCATAATTTTAATTACTTTGTTCCAGTCTGTTGTCATTCCCTTAATCAACAAGAAGGCATTGATCGGATGTGTTATCGCCTCCTCACCATCTCGTATAGCTTTATTGTTACTTTCTTGTATTTCTTGAGCAAACCTAAAATTATATCAATAACTTGTGGAGTGACAGCATTGAGTATTGACAGTGCGACAGAAACTACTACAGAGGCTTTCAGTTGTTTGCAAAAAGTGCTGTTAATTCAAAAATTCATCATTAGATTTTCTCTCACAACCACTGAGTTAGTAAAAGGATTCTGGTGAGAATACAATGGAAACTGATACCAACAGCCAATTAACATGCAGTTAAAGAAGTTCTTTTCAAGCATGGTGTTTGAAATTATAAAGACCTGGAAGGATCAAACAGTTTCGACATGTGACCTAAAAGAAATAGAAGCAGTGGTTTTGGTTAAACTAGCTTTGGAACCAAGTCGAGTAGTTGGAAAGAAAAGCAAACAACAAAAAGACTGCAGCAAGGTCTTTTTGCTCGAATAGTCTCTCTAAATATTTTTAGGAACGACTCTGTAAGTCATTTTTAATGCAGTAAGCACCGGTCTACTTTTCCTTCCCTCCACTGTATGTTTTTGCTACTCCTACTGCATTAGGAGTAAGTTTTGAAAGTTATATATTGCAAGGTATTTTACATTTGATGAGTTTAAAATTTATTTTACTATGCATGATTGTGTTAGCATTAAACGTGGAAAAAAGACAGAGGAGAGGAAGTATTATTCATTTATCGAAAGATTCATTAGTCATTTCGCATTTACGCTTCATTGTAATCTGCCAATGTGAGAAGGATTTAAAAAAATCACTATGTTATGACTTTTACGTAAGTTTTACATTGAAATGAAGAACGGAATGCAAAAGTAAGAGTCAAATTGGGCTTTAAAGAAGCAAAAGCGCTTACTTTTTCAAATAATCAAGTTTTTCTAACTCTTTTTCCACGTAAGCGTTAATCATTACCGGAATATCTCTCTCAGCTCCTATCAATGCTTTCAGAGAGGCAAGGGATGAGAAACTATCGGCAGAAACCGCGATCAATAACAATACATTAAGTATTATCTGGAACATCATTTTCCTGCAATGCATTATCCATAGCAGCATTACTTTCTGCACTTATGCAAAACACATAAATTGCAAGCACTGTGCTAAAGGGAATCGACTGAATATGTTGTAAAGAAATATGGTTGTATTGCACATGTTCTGCATGAAATGTAGGAAACGAGAAGTCAGCGTGAAATAGTAGAGGATGAAGTAAAGGTAAAGGTATGACGACGCATCACCACCACTTTGTTATCTACATATTAAGCATGTCAAACTGAAACTATCCTGTCATCCTTTTCCTTCGCTAGAACCCGAAGGCCGGAGCATCCATCACAAATCTGCTAGTTCTAATTATACAACATAAATAACATTGAAATTAGATAAAGAATCAAGTTTCAATTAATGTCAAATATGCGTAGTGTGCATTGAAATATCTGTATCTATATGGAAATGTGATATTTATGAACATCACATTTCCCTCTTAAGCATTATAAAATACAGCAAAGAGCGAAAGAAGGCATGGTGATTGAAAGGTGTGCTACGTAAGAGTCAAAACTAGTTATAGTCATTCCATTTTACTGCCATGATCAACCAGAAAGTGAATTATTCATCTCACATCAGCAATTTATCATTCTATCTTTTGAGGAAAAGAAGTCTCTGGAAGATTCGCCTTCCTCTTTTTATGTGCAACCGTAACGCTCTCTCTTATAACCGTAACACTATCACGACCAGTCGGGTATTTTGATGATAATCTTAGTTTTTTGAAGTTTATCAATCTAATATTCATCTGAAATTCATCTGTGTAGGAATGTTAGAATTAACGCTTCTATACCAATGATGAAAAGATCCAGGAAGAATATATGTATGAGATTGAAACACCACTTGAAATGCCACTTGAGTGCTTAGCCAGAATCGATATGACAAAAGTGCTAATATTGTAATATTTCCCACTATATTACTTTTCAAATGTGTTTTCTGAATATTAGGCACGAAAATGATAGTACAATTATTATTAAAAGATGTGAATAAGAAGGATTACATGACGGGCGAGATTCTAAAGGAAAGTATAATGCACCTTCCGTTGTACACTGCAGTGGAACGAATAAAGCGCTCTTACATGTGATAGCCACTGAATGGTAAACAGCGCTCATTTAGACCCTCAAACTGAATTATCATCAATCTGGTATTGAACACATTAATATCTAAATTCCACCATCTTTCCTTATGCAACAACAATTTTATGACGAAAGACGACGAGCAACATGATTTTTCTCTTCTTGCAGTGCCCAGAAAGCTCAATGGATTTAGAATGACGAGGTGATTGATATGTTTTGAGAGCAAATAATACAGAGAACGTCTGTGATATAACAGGGAATTGTCATTGATTTGCTTCAATTCAGAACATTAAACAAAACATTACGTCTGGCATATTCAGTTTCGATAAGGCCTTACGTAAGCAACAGTAATGTTTCTTAGCTTAGGTAAAATTTGGCCATGTGATCTGTAATACTTTAAAAGTATTCGCCCGTTAACACTTCTGTGCTCCAATGAGTCTGCTCTATTCGGTCTTCTGAGATAGTGCTGTAATAAAAAAGTAGTGGTACTTTTGGTCGACAAACGAAAATCATAATTTTTCTAGAAGTGAATGGCTGGGGCGGAAAGATGGTTCAATGGCGTAGAGTGAATAACCTGTTATCCCTTCAGAAAGAGTAAATATAAATGGCCGTGTTGTTGTGCTAATTACCTGATAAAAATGCACTAAATATTCACAAAGAGAAAGAAAAGGAGGACAAATGTTAAATGAGTGGATCTTATCACAGAACTATATCCAAACTCTGAGAATTGACGTTTTGCTGATCATATCTTTAACTCCGGTCGTCCATTCCGTAGCAGAGCAAATTTATATGTGACACCTGATTCATCTGATTTCAACGTGATACTTTGGTATCACGGGGCAATATCGAGTGAATTAAGTTGATCAGAAGTCTAACCACCTATTTCAGTTTTAAGTAGTTGTTTCCATACTATAAACAAAATTATTAGTAGGAATGATAAGGAAAGAGAGATAATTGGATAAGTGGAAACAGAATAAGAGCAGAAAGAAATGAGCATAAAAAATGAGTGCATCTCATCATGTTTATTTTTTGAATATGATCGGAACAACTTTGTTTTCTTAGAATTGATGCCGCAAATTGGTGTCCATCCTCACCGAACTATTTCTTTGGGAATATATTTATTTCCCTTTCTCACTATATAACTTAAAATATGGAATGAATTTATTAAAAAAGGACTAGAAACATCACTTTACTCACCGTGAATTCCTGCAGATTTGATCCCGAACACGATAAATTTGTTAATATTACTATTAAATCCATTTGTGTCTTAAATTTAAATTAATGAACAATTTGAGACTTATTGAGCAGAAAAACGAGTACAGGAAAAATGTAGAACTTTAAGCTCTATTTGATCTCTAGTGGAAAAAGATTTTAGATTATTTAATGAAAATTTATTAAAATTGAAGTTTCAATTGGATTTATAATTCAAAGTGAGAAAACTGGTGCTACTAAAATAGAATTTCGCTTTCTTCTAGCCACCATCACAACATTAAACAATAACAAGTAAAATAAGTCTTTGGATCGGTGTAAAAAAAGTTTTCGCCTCTTGACCATAGAATCTCGTTTTTGTTCAATTTTCATAAAGTCATCATATGTTTGCTACTTCCCATTAATGGCATAAATCTTTTTACTTGTCTTTCTTATTAATCGTCTTGTTATTGTCACAGGAACTGTCTTCAAATGTTTGCTGAATTTTAATATAATTGAGTGTAGCTAAGGTTTATTCAACACACCATTGAAATTTGTACTCAAGTGAAGGGGACAAGCCATTTTATATTCGTTGCACAACAATCTTTAGTCATAATTCTATGTCATTTTCGGAACAAATTCATTGATAAATCAAACGATATGCTGAATCATATCAATTGCATATCACTTACTTATACTACATGCTCCTTCATTATTTGTAGTTTTCTACATTTTCTACTTTAAAGCAATTTCTGGCCAATAAATTAGCGGCAGTAGGTAGCTAGAATAGTTAAAAGAGCCAAATCTTTTCCTACATGCAAATCGTTCTAATACTTGTGCAATTGTCTCATTCAAAAAACTACAAGAAATTTTGTTATCCTCTACTTCCGTTGTACAAAATAACAACAAAAAATCTGATACTAACGAATAAAACCAAAATTTCAGTTTGAGTGTGTATTTCAGTGTATTTCTGAGTGTACATTTCTGAGAGAACTTTCTTTACTTAAGAAATATTTTTTTTTTTAATATTATTTTGTAGCAGTATGTGTCACCACTAGGATACAAAAAAATATCTTAGTTGTTTCTGAAAGTCATTTTGTATGTCGCACCTGCTGATCCATTCTAAAGGCATCCGAATTTTAAATCGAAATTGTAATTTGCAAAGAAATAATTAAATGAAAAAGAGAAAAGGATGGCTATTGCTGTTTGTTAAAAGTATTTGGTAATTTCAAATTTTTATTCCTGTTTTGTATAATGAAACTGAATGGTGGTGATAAAAAATTGCTCGTCGAAGAATCTCATGGAATGTTATCGGATGAAACGATTGTGGAAATATTCGAACAACTTGCGCCTAGAGAAAGGGCTCGATTCTCTGTTATTAATAAACGCTTGTATAATTTGTTACACCCAGTTTGTTGCTTTCTATTGATGCTAATCTAATAATGATCAAAGTGGTTTTAAATAGTTTGAGTCATGAAACATGTGTCGTCGTCGTCGTTCATATGGGCATTGTATCACTAGAACTTTTGCAGTGGAGTGATATTAATCGTATTACGGCACACAAAGTGGGCATTGTTCTCTCTTCTGATCGCTACATATTGGAAATACATAATAATAGTAGTACGGGAAATACGGTATGTTTCACAACACATGTCTGGCTGTCCATTTGATACAGCTTGTCGTCATTCATCTTTTCCAACTTGGTCATCGTAATAGTTGTATTTTGAGCAAAAATTTATTATTATTATTATTATTAAAAATGCTTAATATTACGGAAAAATATGACGAGCATACCGGAAAGCATCCAATTGAAATGGTCTTATTCAGGACGTTAATAAACTAGCGAAAGCACTTCGCAGTTCTCCGTTTATACAAAAGCTTGTGATTAGTAGCACGGACCATATTCGCACAATTCCTGCTACATCGTTCGACTGTTTATCAAACCTTCGAGAACTCACTCTACCTTGTGATATTTTTGATAAGTAAGACATTAACATCCTCTTGCTTTCCCTATAAATTGATTAAATCATCGTAAAATGCGTAGGATTATCCGCTACCTAAAATGAAATGAATCATCGATATTGTGGACCTTTCTTTCACTGCACTATCTGATGCCATTAGAATTGAAGTCTGTGAAGAATCCCATAATGCTAACCAGTCCGCGGTCAATTGCAGCTTAGACTATTAGTCTTGATCGATAAGACAAAAGAGTATCATCTGTTTCATTTTAGGTTTCTGCCATTTTTCTAGGCTTTGATATCACTGGGACCGCTGTCACTTTGTGTTATACAATCATAACTTCTTATTATAGAATAGAATTATATTTCCACCTTATTATGTAATTTAATTAACTAGTTTTACTCTTTAGAGAGTCGAATTTACATGAAAAAATCGAAGCAATATTTTCAATCAAGAGATTACTGGTTTTACGTATTTTAAAACGATTTGATACTCCACGCAAAGCAACAAATGTAATACGTGGGGAACACATAGAAAATTTGCAAGCAAATGCTATTAAAATGTTAAAATTACAGGTTACAAAATTTTATTTTTTTAAATTTCAAAAGACGTAGAATTTATTGAATAACAAAAATTATTTGAAATATGCATTAGTTCGGCTTACTACTTTGATAGATAAAACTGAAAGAGGCTTTAGATTTGATGTGATAACTGTACAGCTATAAAATTGAGGTTAAAAGCTTTGTGAGGAGAAATTACAACTACAATTACTGTCACTTTTCTAGGGTGTGTCACTGACCGCAGTGGCAATGGAAAAGATTTCCGACAAATACTCGAATTCGTTAAAATATCTATGTCTTATGGGCACCTTGGTACATACACCCGATGGTGCCATTTATCTGAAAGCGTTGTGTGAGTTGGAATTTAATAGTGAATGTCTTAATGAGAAAGAAGGAGGGGAAAACCGTGTAACAAGTTTATCAGTTGCTATCATAGTTACAGTAAACTAGCTAACGTTTGCATTTTTTTTTAAAAAGTTATTGAAGAATTGCAGATAATTAACAATCACGCACAAATAATTAACTACCGGAATTTTAATTTAAGGCAATTTGAGGTGCTTGTGTAAACTGACGTTACCGCCATCACTTCTATCATTGAGTAGTAAACCATTGTATCAAGAATGTCGAATGCTGCAACAACTCACTACCAAATATCTCTCCGTATATGTTTACGAATCAGAAATAGTTGAGACACGATATTTTATGAAGAAATTGCTACCGCTTACACTAAGAGAATTATGTTTGCATGACCCTACCCATATGGTAGCTAGAGATTTGAAAAATGATGACTTTCGAAAATTACATTTCAAGGTAAGTAATTTCTTCAACGTATTACTTTAGTCTCCTTGTTGTGTACGAATACAAACAATGAATCATAATTGCTAACACAAAAAGAATGAACATCTCATGAACAAGTCTATTTTGTGTCAAAACTCATTCAGCTTTTGAAATTTCCATTGAGGTGACATTTTGCAAACGAGCAGACTCACTGTATCAGCAAGAATGGATGCATGGTCATTGTGAGTTGTTATCACATATGGTTTGGGTGCAACCATACAAACATTTTAACACTGAATATCCACATCCGGTAATCAAGAAAAAATATTTCCGTGGTTTGTAATATAGATCAATGCGCCACAAGCAAATATTTGTTTGAAATCATTTTCTACAATAGCTTTGAACCGTAAAATTTAAAGTATGACAAATGACTGTAGTAAGATATGGAGGACATCGAACGATTTGAATTGTCATTAAAAAAGTTATAATTGGATTTTTTAAAAGAATGCAAAGGTTATGCTAGGTACCTGGTTGGTGGTTTTTTATGAGCGAAAACGTAGATACAGCTGAAGAAGCCACAGAAGTTACGGCAACAGAAGAATCTCCAGTCCTCCAACCACATGCTGTTCCACAAATCCAAGTACCACCAAATGAGGATCCTGGGGAAATGATGATGGCTACTATTGCAAGTGAGCGACATTAATGCAAATAAGAGAATGTGTAGGAAACATTATAAGAATTAGAATTTCGAAGAGTAAGAATTTGAAAAACTTTAACTTGAATTGAGAACCAGAACTACTTACAAAATCAAACATCAACTAAATAATCGAAGAAACAACAGGATTAAATACTACGATCTAATGATAATCGGTTATTAGTCTCATCTTAAAATTAATTACAGCTTTCACATCAACCAATAAGCTATATATGACCTTTAAAAACTAATCGATAGCTTATTACCTATCGTATAACAATAAATTCTTTGATTTTTCTGCACAGGATTTTTTGAGCGAATGATTGATGATCAACTGAACGCTGAATTTGGTGGTAGAGCTCTTACGGATTTGGCAGTACTTGAAAATCCTAGCAACAATGTGGTGACACCTAACACTGCTAGTCAATTACCAGTACCACCTAACCAAATTGGTATTTTGCATAATAATTCTCAGAAATTTAGTTCCTAATCCTAGCAACTTTAAGTGGTATGGGCAATTCGTTTTTTATCATTATGAATTTTGGTCATAATTCCAGTTTTAGGTAGCCACTCAGAGCGTCCCACCGACCGATCGCGTCGAAGTTACGTGCTGATATCAAGAGGTGGAAGGGGAAATCTACGTCAATCTATTGGAAGAACATCCTCACAAACAAATACTCAATCTATTACACCAACCCAAAGAGATATATCTGCAGGACAACACCAAGAAACATCTACGTGAGTTGTAATTGAAAAAGTGGAATTTCTTCCGACATAATTTATAGGTAACTTATCAAAATTAAAATTAGGTAAATTTAATTCCTGCAATCTTCCGTATTCTAGGTACTACCGGATAGCAGTAGCACTTAAACAAGTGATTTACTTGTCATTTTATCTTCTTGTCATTTTCAGAACTGCAGAATCGCCAGATTCAGAAGAATCGGAAGGACAATCAAGCCAGAATGACAATGATGAAGCAGCTCAGTCTGGATCAACAACAGCAACAAACACAGCGTCGAGTGATGGGCGAGAAGGAAGAAATATAAGACGAAACTAGATCTTAATAACATCAAAAAAGGCTTAGACATTTGCAGTATCACTACTTTACAGTTCAAGCTAAATAAATACAAAAAAAAAAAAAAAAAAAAAACCAGATATAACCAGAAAATCAGTGGAGACAAGTCACAGTCATCAGTATACTTATACGCTTTTATAACTGGCTTATTAAGCTGTAATGGATAAAAAAAAACCATATTCCAAAACACTTGAAGCTTTCATCTGAAATCAATTATCCGAAAAATCATTTCAACAACACTCAGTCCATAAGTTCATCTAATTACTGCTCGTACAAAGCCTTAGCTTATGACAAATTTACTAGAACTGACTAGAGAAAAGACAATAAGCAAGCAGAAGCATTGTTTTCCTTTATACATACCCAGGAAATAGCGAGCAAAAAAAAAAAAACAGATCTAACAAAGACATACAAATATATACAGCATGAATAAGCTTATTATTAGTGTCATGAAGGAAGAGTAAACAAATGTAAAATATAACATCGACGACCTTGGCTCAAAATTTGTTCCATACTCTTTGAAAAATAATATTTAAAAGAGGCAAAAGCATGTATAAATTACGTAAATTACATCATTAAATTTCCCCATTAAAAATTTTGTCCCACTCTCTAACTTTCACGGCGTCTTTGCTTGAGTCGAAGGAAAAAAATCGAAAAAAAAAATGCTATAATTTCAAATATGCTAGTTCCTCCCTTTAGAAGACTTCTATCTTTTGTAATTTCATCGAATATCTTTAATCAAATGTATTTGGCTGTTTACAATAAAGCAAAAAGCCGAAAAGTCTTATTTTACGATTTGTTGAAACTTGAAGTTTCATTCAAATTTAAATAAAAATATAAAAGCAGTAATTGAGAATAAACAATAGGAAGACCACAAAGCACAAATCAGTAAGCAAGGGAAACCAAATTGTGTAACCTTATCAAGAAGCAACACAAAAAGTCATCATAACTAACAAATATGAATCTAAGTTGCTTGACCGGAAAACGATGGCATCGAGCGCATTGATGGTATTGGACTGCTGGAGGCATGCACAGGGCTATAACCACCGCTACTGAAGCTCTCTTTATTGAAGAAAAATCGGAAACTGCAATTACAAATTTTATAAATTTCAACTGACTCCTAAGGAGGTGTTCAATGACTAACTTATTTGACATGTTGGGGGACTAATTCATGACTGAACTAGACAAATTCTACATGCTCTCCTCAAATTCTGAGTACAATGTAAAGACAATGATTAGGAATGGTTTTCTATGTGCATCATCAAAAACATAATATTCATTGCAAACTTTCATGTTTTATACAAAACGATCCGAAATTAAAGTTTCAAAATACCTTTTTGATAACTTCCATGAGGTTCTTTAATAATCGGCAGATTTTCAAGACTTCATGTTAACTAGTCTTTATCGTCCTTCCACAGTGTAAGCTGCATATGAAACAAATGAAAAACATAGTTACTTCTTCTGTAACTTTTTATAAAGTAAAGCATACAACTTTCGCACGCCGCTTTCTTTTCGTTCATATTTCCATGGGTATAATTTTTCTTCAGGCTCCTTGTTGATTGGTCCATAAACAACATATTCTTCTGTTTGAGCAGATCTGAATTACAATAATGAGAATTGCAAAACAAATTACGCAGTTCGTGCTTCCATAACTTGAGCGATGTGGAGTCATATCTACGGAAAAACAAAATATTTTGGCTTAGAATAAAAAATAGGATTCTTCAAAATTAACAATAATTTTTTCACAAAAAATTCTCCAAATATTAAAAAATACCTATCAAATTCTCTACTGGAGTCACTTGCAACAGATTCTCGTCTGCGTAAGAGTCGCAGCTGTTCAAGTTCCTCTTCCAATTCCAAAACTTTGCCTTTCAGCAAATTCTTCTCTTGTAGTACTTCACGTAACTCTGACAAAGTGAATCTAGGGGCATTATCATTGTCATCCTGAAAATTTTTCATTGAAAGAAACAACTATATAGAATAATATATATATATAGAAAAAAACTTCGAACTGGTATATATATAGAAAAAAAGAAAAACAACTATATATAGAAAAAACTTCGATCTGGTTTGCTGACTAGAAAATCACAAAATTAGAACCAAAATTTTTATCTTAAAAGAAGAGTGGAACGGAAATAAAGAGAAACAATATTTTTGCAAAATGGTAACAGTTGCTATGTACAAAAGTAGTTGGTGGTAAACAAACGTTTTTGATTGAGAGAGTATTTTCGCAAAATTGATGTGTAGGAATGGTATAGCATAAAACTTTTTCTCGAAATAGAAAGATTTGATGCGAACATATGAAGATAAATCTTATAACGTATATGAAATGCAAAATTTTTCTAAAAATTGCATAAATAAGATAAAAGATACCACTTGACACTGTTGCAAATCTTTGCACTGACGAGTAGCATCTTTGAATAATTTCGTTAGTTTAATATTAGCTTCTTCAGTCAACTGCAATCTTTTAATAATTTCACTTTTCTCTTCTACCAACAACCTTCCCTGTTTTTGCAACGATGCATTCTTCCGTAAGAGTTCTTCATTTTGACGAATCAGTTTTTCAACATTGTTATGCAGCTGGAAGAAAAATGATAGATTCTAGCATAAAAATTGTAATGTATATGAAAGTTTTATAGTATGATAGAAATATGATAAAAGTCATTGAAGCATTTTGATTTTTAAAAACATGGCACTGAAATAAAGCAGCAAATGTTTCAACTAATAAAAAATTATTCAGATATCTATCATCAAACCTAATGAAAGTTAAATTTATCAGTAATGGAACAAATCGTAAAAGTATTAGAGATTAGAAAAAAAAATCCCAAGAAATGTAAGTCCTGAAAATTTCAAAATTCTTGCCTAATGATATTGGACGTTGACTGTTTTTTTTTTTTTTTTTTTTTTAAAAAAAAAAAACATCGCAGCATCAATGAAAAGTGACTTACATTTTCTACTTCACAATTATAAGTACTGATATCTTTTTGTAAATCTTTTATTTCCTCTTTTTGTTTAGTAGAGAGTTCACGTAGTTCTAACAGCATTTTTAGATCTTCATCACGAGTTGCTGGAATGGACAAACTAATTTAATGATCTCTGAGACATTATTAGATGATAAAAATCTGATAAGACCTAGATTTGTTAAGAAAACCGATGGAAAAAGGAAAATATAAATGAATATTAGAAGAGATGTCTTGAAGAATTACAACTTTTTAGTAGTGATTTCTTTAAACTAAGGATCTCACCAGTTCTTCCAAGTACAAAGGATAAAAATTTTCTAGTTATGTTCAAATACATAGAAAATAAACATGAAGTTAACCTAAGCAAATCCTCTGTACCATCACTATCAAATGATATTTTTCATTATTAATAAATCAGATAATTCTCTCAAACTTCTTACAAAATTCAAATTCTGAAAAAATACTCATAGAAGTAAATGCTGAAGCATCATCTCCAGTTACTGATGATAAATGCTTGTTTTCCAATTGCAAATTCTTTACCATCGACCATAAATCATCAATTTCTTTTCGATAATTCTCTTCTACTGCTTCTAATTCCTGCAATTTTTGATACTGTCTACTTCACCATATTTAACAAAGTGTATAAATGACAAATGAATAAAACCCATCTATAATTTGTGTCTAAGAATAAAGAAGGCGAAAAAAAAAAAGAATCCAGCATAAGAAAAGGTGAAAAAATCAGGATTAGGGGTAAAGGACAAGTCAGGCTCACGAAGAACTGATGAGAGGAAACAGAAATTAATATTTAGATGTAGATAAATTGAATAAAAGAATAATAACAAAGACCAAACAGTGAACAGTAAGTGCAAAAAAGAAACACTATCTGTGTTAATATCATTTCTAACTAACACGAGAATAAGAGTTATGAGCTTCCTAATATTTTGCTTTTAATTCTTACATCACTCCATATATTAAGTGAGATAATATTACAACTGGAATTTAATTTAGCTAAGCAGCATTACTAATGAAAAACAAATAATAACCAATTCAAATTTGATTCGATCTTGCTGTTTCATTTGTTTCTCATTCTCCAACCTTTCAACTGTTTTTTTTAACATCAGAATTTCTTCATTTTCTTTTTCGTTATGATTAGCAAGTGATTCGAGTGTTTCGAGAGCTGATATTACCTGCAATTTACATTTTTTCAATGGCAAAACTGAAACTAATGAATTGTAAAAGGAATAATGCGGGATGAAATTGGTGATGTCAACCACTTTTTAAACAATACAAGCTTTATTTCACACTACACACTTTCTGAATAGTGGAAGAATTTCTATACCAATTGCATATTAACTTTTCTATGATAGGAGAGATTTATAAAATTTCGAATAGCAGTTATATAAATTAATTACTTTCGCGAGCCCTTTCTACGATAGATATTTATATGTTCTATTGTGATGTTTTCTTTTTTGTTCTGTGATTTCTAATTTTGTGGTTTTTTTTTAATAATTCAAGATTTTAGAGTCAAAATTTAACTGAAATTGGAACTGCTCAAAAAGCTAAAAATACGATATAAACAATGTAATGTCCAAAATTTAATGCAACTAACATAGATTAAATCTTAAACAGAATTTACCTTTGGCATAATTTGTCGCACGCTATCATTGCCAAACTCATCAATGATTCGTTCAAAATCTTTACCGATTGAAGCAGCCAAATCGTAAACATCAACAACAGTAATATGTCTTGAGGGACTATCAGCTGGAGACCGTACATCAGTCATCATTGTGGTAGTCGTTACAGCACTTGTCACAAAAGTCTTGAGTATCTAGAAGGAAGAAAGAAAAAAGCAGTGACTGATGGTGATCCATGCCAATCAATCAAATAACTTAAAAACAACCAGGTGATGTAAAAGATAACCGTTTCTTCAACATTATGGGATCATAAAATAAGATTTCCATACTCAATATCAAATATTTCGTTATTCAGAACAGCCAAGCCGGATAAGATAACTTGATATCTTCG